GTTTTTGAATTATCCAATATGAAATAATATAAATAGAAGTTAAGATTTTTCTAATTTTAATGTTTTATAAGAAAACTAAAATTACTATATGAAATATCTAAAATTTAGTTATTTAGAACGACTTTTAAAGATTTCGTCGTCAAGAATTTATATATTAGTTTGTCTATAAATTTTAGTTTTATTATATTACTTGAAATATGTAATTATATAATTAAGTAATAATTAATATATAGTTTATTTATTTTGTTTAGCAACCCGATCCACTTTCCGTATAGCGCTGATCCTTCTTTTTGAAGCGACGTCGCACTATCAATATTTGGCATATTGCCCAATTTACTCAACAATTTGCAATTTACTCAACAATTCTGCAATATTTTCAATGAACAAATAACAATGCCACTAACCTGATTTGTTCTTCAATACAATTTTTGTTTAACCAATTTACGACCGCGCCAATTTGTTGTGTCTCTGCACAACAAGAAATAAGCAATACAATAATGAGTTTATCACACAAGAAATACAATAATATTGAAGTAATAGAATATGTTTAGGTAATAACTAGGAGACAATTAGGAGACACGGACTGACAATTGTGTGAGGCTTTTATAGTAGCCACCACACCACAACACCAACGGCAATAACATCACAAATTGGGACTGCTTCACCTACAAACCAGCACAGAAGACCAGCCGAATCAGCATAACATTGGCAAGACCACCAATAAAGGAACCACGTCTCCCTGTACTACGACAATTTGTGACATCCGTGGAACTTCACAACAATCCCGTCAGCGTCGAGGATTTATCCGTTGTAAAATGGGATACATCCACTTGAGTTATTCACTTTACAAAATTTGGTTGTTTTTACAAAAACAAGAGCAACATATATTAAAACTTACATGAACTAACTACTATAAGAAAAATATTTGACATGACTACTACTTTATGTGGTGGCTACTATAAAAGCCTCACACAATTGTCAGTCCGGGTCTCCTAATTGTCTCCTAAATATTACCCCAACATTATTCTGCTCTTCAACATTATTGTATTTCTTTGTGTGATAAACACATTATTGTATTGCTTATTTTTTGTTGTGCAGAGACACAACAATGTTGTAACCAACCAAGCTTTGGATGAATAATTTAAAGAATAAATTAAAATTATTTAAAATATTTATTTCAATTTAAATTAAAATTAACAGTTGCTGTAAAAGGTAGAAGAAGGCTTTTTGAAGGAGGTGTTTTTGAAGAATGAACTGGAGAAGACAATAATTTGGGGGTTTGGGGAGGGGCTTTTAAAGCAGTCCATTGGCCCTGGTTTTTGGCCAATGGCAAAAAATTTAATAGAAAGTTAAGGTGAAAAATGATGAAATAGGTAGCTGTGCAAACAATGATAAGAAAAGTTTGGCTGGATAGAAAATTCCAGCAAAACTTTCAAAGAAGAAAAATTTAATTTTAAAATTAGAGAAAAGGGAGAGAGGGGTGAAAAGATAATAAAACAAACAAACGAGATGGGTAAAATTGCCCACACAAACTTCAGTCGCGGGAATGCACGTGAATGAAGTTTGTGTGGCGCATTCCTTTTTTAGTTTTTTATTTAATCCTTTGCCTCTCTTCTTTGCAAAATTTTATTTAATTTTATTTTTTATATTAATTAATTCCTTCTTTTATTATTTTGCAGAATCAGCCCATCTTCAGTCGGGCTGCAACAGACTCCGGCGCCAGATCAAGTGTCTGCTTGTAGACGTCGAAGAGGATTGCCAAACGGTGAGTCAGCTGAAGCCAAAGAGACGGAGTCGTTTGCCTTCGAAAATTGAACACGTGCGTCCTTGGCTTGATGACGTCTTTTGAAGCTTGTGAACCTCATTGGCGGAGTTGGTGCTGTTGCGATTGAGTCACTTCGTGGGCGTATTTCCATGAATTCAGTTCCTGCATCTTGAGTTGCATTTGTTCGTGAATGTTGTCGGCCTTTCAATATTCCAATTGTTTTAAACGTTGGCGTTAAAAAATATGTCCAGAGAATTGGTACCAAAACATCTCTAATAAACAGAAATGTAGAGAACGCACAGCTGAATATCATCCAATAATGAACAAGCATTTCCCATAAACCACGAAACCATTCTTTAGCGAGTCCAGGTAGTCCGCCAGGAATTGCGCCAAGTGTAAGTGCTCGATGATGCTCATCAGTTTTCTGTGTAGTTTTCCATTCTTCTGACTGAGTCAATTCATCGATGTGAAGGAATGGTATTTTGTCGTCGTCCGGATGAATTAGCCATTCATGAAAAATTACTGGATGTATTTCAGTTTCATTAAATTGTGTTAAGTTGTTGTGGAACGTGTGAATTGCACTGTTGTTCAGTAAGTCCATTATTGCTGTCTTTGTGTCAATTTTGTACCAAGTGTTCTTTGAATATTCCAGGTACATGTAGCGAAATCTGCCACAGTCGGCTGGTGGTGCAGTGCTGCTAAGTATTCGAAGTACCGGATCCAAGAAAGAATTCAGAGTTCGGTTGTAAAACAGGACGTCCACTGGAATATATTTGTAACAATTTGTTGTGCGTCTTGTTCGGATCATATTCATGCCAATTTCCGCACACGTGTACAGTTGCATTGTCCGGGGTCCAATCCATTTAGCAGCAATGTTTTCCTTTTGTAAAAGTTGTCTGGCCAGCAGAGTAGGGTTTGTGCCTTGTTTGTATTTTTTGCATTTTTCAATAAATATTCTTTCGATGAGTTGATTCATTGTGAGCTCTGATGCTGTGAGTTCACTTGCCAATTGATCCTCTTCAACAGTTCTTTTTCCTCTTGCCAAAAACATTCTTTTATATTCCTTTGTGAGTATGCCAAATCCTTGTTCGGAAAGAGTGATTGCTTCACCATGGCATGAAAATTCGTTCGGGGCATTTTCTTTTTCAAATGTTAGAGCTTGTTCCTTCGATTTGCTGAGCCAGATTATTCTTGTTGGTTCAATTTTGTAGAGTCCATCCATTTGTTCAGTGTATTGGTGCTTGCATTTACGACATTGGTGAGCTGGACAATCCGTTTCCCAAATTATTGTTGTGTTGTCGTACATTGTGCAACTTCCTTCTGTGAATTTGCAGTGGCCCATATTGTGTGTTGGCGAGAAAATTTCCAAAGTTTGAGGTTTAAAAAACAAGCTGATTTTTTGAACCAAACAGTTGATTGCTGTGGCCTTTTGTTCACCAGAAAATAAGCTTTGGAATCTGCCGGGAAATTCCATATTGATTACTTGTTGAGTGGACCATGAATTGTTGTCAATTTTTTGCATTGTCTCTTTTGTAGATGGACATAAATGTTGCTGGGCCATGATTGAGCAGTCTTCCTTTGAAATTGAAAGCATTATTCGTTCCATCTGCAGAAATCTGTCACCCAGAAGATTAGTGTAATAGACCTCATCAACATTCTTTACAGAACAGTGGTGGGCTATTAATTCCTTGGTGTGTTGAGCATGAGAGAATAGACTGATCCTCATGTCTTTCCATTTTTTGTTTCTAGTCAAAGGATGACAGTAAGGAGATTTGCTTTGGTCAGGTATAGTCCAAAGAGAGCTTGGAGCATGAGCGCACCAAAAAGCTGGTAAATCGTTGTTTGGAACACTTTCCCGTTTTTGAACAATTGTAGGAGCCGGAATATTTGCCGGGATCGTGTTTGGTTTATTGTGTTGTACATAGGTGTCGAATGCCCTTTGTTTTTCAATTTTAATTTGACTTACTTCGGGTAATTTTTCGATTGGAGAAGTTGGTTTTAAAAGTGTTGACTGCTTCTCAATTAACCATTTTAATTTGACAGGCTTTGGTGGTATCGGAGTCGTTGTCGTTGAAGCCATTTTATTAATTTCTTTAAATTTTTCCTTTAGGCGAGGTGATGCCGTTACATGAATTCTTTTTGGCGTTCTGTTGTCATTAAATTCCATTAGTTGCGTTGGAGTAGAAAATTCACTTCTTTTTTGGATTGGGATTAACAGAGGACTGCCAATTGGTTGTGTAAAAGTTGACACGATCGAGCATAATAGTATCAATGCCATGTAATATGTTCCATATGCTCGGGTTGGCAGTGTCATGAAGTTTTTTCGCAGTTTTTCCATGGATTGTTGAGGTTTTCGTGGAGGTGGAGATTTTCCTTTCCGATGAAGCACACAAGGTATATTTTTCAGAGGATTAGAATTTTGTTTGTGAATAATTATTACTTCTTTATTTTGCTGTGTAGTTTTAGTTTCCTCTGATTTTTCTTTGATCTTCTTTAATTCTTTTGCACTGCCGTTCCATTTGTAAAATCCAGTGCCATAAGTTTCGGCCAAATTGTGGAATTGTGTTGCCATTTTTATTTGTTTATTTTTGTTGCTTGATTCGGCCAGACTTAGAGTAGTCCGAATGTTCAATTCCATATCTGCGAAGAATTCCAAGGTTCTGTCAATCGCTCGTGCCGTTGTTTCATCTGATTTGGTGATTATTATTAATTCTTTAACTTTTTCTCCAACGAAGCACATATATTGCAAAGGTTTTGATCCAAAAGGTGCGTGGTGTATTAGTTTCCTGTCTGTAGACCATGTGTTGATTGAGTCCAATGAAGTATCGGCGGCAACAATTACTTCTCTGTCCACCAAATAGAGGGGAGGTAATTCAATTTCTCGGAATCTTTTTTGCAACGACAATTGAAATTCCTTGCGCCGAAGTCGGGTCAAAATTTTTCCAGTTTTGTCGTTAATGATGCTGAGCCATCTTTCCAAAAAGGGTATGCCATAGTCCATTTCAGGTGTTTCCAATTTGATTGGGCCATATTGCGCACTGTTGTAAATTTTCTTTAGAACCTTGCACTTCTTCAATTGTATTTTTATTGAATCTTCCAAATATTTGTCCAAAAATGCTGTTGTATGTTCCCATTGTATTAATAGCCAAAATTGTAGTAGGAAGTTGTTGACGTCGTCCTTGATTTCCCATAGTTTTTCAGAACATTCTTGCCAATAAGTCGGATCTCTGTGTTGTCATGTAAGCCATTCATACGCAAAGATATGAAGGAGACAGTACAGCGGTGGGATTATCAGACGATTGAACATTGGTCGTTGCTCGGCATTTTCTCCAAGACGCTCATCAGGTTTGCAATCTTTGTGAAGTTCTCCTTTACATTCGTGGAGCACATTGTAATAGAAAACATTTTGTTCTTTTGGTGCCGGCGTTTGAATGTCTGAAATTTTTTGAAGGGATTCATTTAATTGAATCCCTCGCTCCTCCCGAGCGGCATTTTGTGCTGCTCTTTTAATTTCCAAATTTTCACAAGTTTTTATTGTTTTGTCCCAAGGCTCTGTTGTAATTGAAACATTTGCTTCCAAAGTATTGTACCATTTGTCGCCTCGCTCACATCTTTTCTTAAATTCAATTTTATATTTTTCCAAAGCTTCATTTTTCATTTTTTCTTCTTTTTCTTTTCTTTCTTCTTCCGATAATTTTGGAGCCAGAGCAATTTTTTGGCGAATAACTTCTTGGTCCTCTAACGAGTATTTATTTCCTCCCAGGCTTTTGTAGAGCATATTCATGCCGGCAATGGACATTCGTTTTGGTTTGAGTATTTTTCTTTTTGGTATTGTAAAGCCAGGAGCCAATTTCGGGAATTGTAAAACCTTGTGTTGATCTTCGTCATGCTTTCGTTTGCGTTGTTTCATTTCCATATTTGAATTAATGTTGCCAATAGGTTTGCTAGTTTCAATTGTTGCCATAACGTGAACAGTTTCGACTTCGGGTTGAACTTCTAAACGAAAAAGTTGATTAATACTTCTTTTTAAAATTTTTCCATTTATTAAAATTTTAGCTGTCCTAATAATATTGTTCCTGCCGTGAATCAGTTCCACGATCTCAGCTGCTTTTCCCAATGATCGTGGAATCAGATTCTCATCTTCGAGTAAAAATGTTTTCGCAAGTATCACGCGGTCCATTAAATGGTAGCGCAGTAAAATTCCAAAAAGTTTTTTGAGCAAGAGTGAGCCGATGTGTAGATAATTCTTCAATGAAGGAATACTTCGTTGATTTGGAGAATTCGCATAAGCATCCATAATAATTCGCAATTTTGCTGTATTTTCTTCTTTTATTGATTTATTCTGGTCCAATGTATTGCTGATTAATATATTCTCTTCATTTGAAATTTTCTTCTGTTCGGTTGGATGAGTGCATGTGCCAGCTGCAGGCCATTCAGTTTTGGTAGGCCAATCATTATTTTCTTTAACATTAGTGAAGCAAGCAATGCAAGGCCTTTCTTCTGTGATTACCACGTTCACTTGAACAGAAGCTGCGTAGATTGTATGTGTTGCAAATCCTTCGTCCATTTGGCCGGCTCCACTCAGAATTTTTCCTAGCTTTGAGTCGCTAATTGTGAAGCCACTTGGTAGTTTTTTAAGTTGTTGAATGTTGAGTTCGTGCCACAAGTCCACTCCCAGCAAAATATCCGGTTGCTTGCAGGAACTTGGTGTAATTCTTTCACGTTGTAGGTCAATTGGATCAATTTCGCGCACGTTGAAGCAGGGCAAGGGATTGACCAAAAATCCCAATTTATTCAAAACAACGCTCAATTTCTGGCCATCGGCACAATATATGTTGAGTCGCACCAAGTCGCTGTCATAGGTTTTCGAACATCTGTCTCCAAAACTGGTTAAATGGCATTTTTCTTTGGAGACGATCGGTAGTTGCAGTTTGTTGGCCAATTTTGCCGATATAAAGGAGCGTTGACTTCCAGCATCCAAGAAAATAAGAGCCTCTTCTTTTTGTTGTGGACGTTTAGGATTGCACACAATTGCTGGCAAGGTCATCAGCACAGATTTCGAGCCTTCTTCTTTCACAGCGTTTGCTTGCTCAGTTTGCCGATTGTTGATTAAATTTTGAACGCCAGGCTTGGAAGGTTGAACATTTTCCTGCCTTTGGGCATATCGATTCTGCATCTTTGCAAAGCATAGAGCAGATGGGTGCATCCTTTTGCAGTGGAAGCACATTGAAGGTTTTGGACAGTTGAAGCTTGTGTGTACCTTTCGCAGACATCTGGTACACAATTTCTTTTCCTTGGCTCTCGTCAGTCTCTCTTGTGGTGTGCTGTATTTGACACATCTGTCATTGAAGTGTTGCTCGTCACAGAATGTACATTTCCAAGTCATTTGAGGTTGTCTGTCCATATTTTGATTTGTTGCCGAAATTCTCTGCCTTCTTGATGAGCTTCTTTTGATTGGATTCGGCTTTATTTGTTGTCCCTGTGCTAAAGTTGCGTAAGTAAAATCTTGCCTCTGGTTTTGATTTGGTGCCGATCTTCTTTGAAATTGATTTCCTCTTTGAGTTGGTTGAAAGCTCATTCGATTGGGTCTTCTTGGCACTTCTCGCTCATATTCATTCATGACCTCTTGGATTGCCATTTCTTTTTGAATTGCTTCTCGTAAAGCTTCTCTGAATTGAGTGGTTGACCAGTTGTTGCCTTCGGACCTTTTTGACAATATAGTCCGTAAGAAGGGCTTGTTGAGCTTCTTTTCCAAGGCGAGATAAACTGACGGACCTTCGATGTCCTCGCCGGAATTTTGTAATTCACGAGCCAGTCGTTCCAGTTCGATGCTGAATCTCCGAACATCTCCCAGTGTTACACATGCCTTGAGATTTGTTAGCCTTGTGTGAAGGCTTCTAATGTAGGCGTCTTTGTCTCCATAGTTGTCTTTAAGCATTTGTAGAGCTTCTTTGTAACTCTTTGCCTCGAGCCTGAATCCAGCAATTAATTCCTTTGCTTCTCCATCAACTAAGTTGCGCAGCAAGGTAAGTTTTTCCACGTCTGAGCCATTTCCAGAGTCCACTGCGCATTTGAATGATTCATAGAATTCTACCCAGTCCTTTCGAGCTCCATTGAAGGGTTTGATTTGTAGTGTCGGCAATTGATAGACCGATGAAATTGTAGTTGCTGCTGTTTGAGGCGTTCCACTTGATTGAGCTGGAGTCGACTGCATCTTCTGGGAATGTTTAATTTCTTCTTCCTTTAATTCTTTGTCGCTTTTTGCCATAGCGACCTTTGCTTTGATTGAGACATCATCTTTGAAGTCTTTTAGTTGTCGGAGCATAGTATCAATTGCCTCCATTGACGCTTCCAATTTGTGTGTCTTCTGGAAGGCCTCATATTCGTCATTTGCCGCTGAGCGTTCATCAGATGGTATTTTGCGCAGAAGGTCAGTCCATGATGAAAGGGATAATCTGATGTCTTCAATATTCGCTTCGGCTTTATTTATTTCTTCTTCTAATCGCTTGAATTGCGCCTCTAGTTTTATTGCCTTTATTTGGTTGGAGTCTCCTTCTTTGATATTGTCAACCCATTCTTCTTTTGATTTAGTTTTTGCTAATGCTCTGATTGCATTAACAATTGTTGTTTTGATTGGCGATGCCATTATTTTTTAAATTGCCTTTAGGACTTCGCAAATAAATTAAAGGAACCTTGGATACTGCCGAAGATGAGAACCTTATTTGATTCCCTCGAGGTGATATTGACTCAATTAGTTGTTCAGAGACAAGTAATTGAACAATATAAATTTTGAACTAAGTCGGAGTATAGAAACCCGATTAGTTCTCGAATAAAATTTAAATTTTATTAATAAATCTTCCCCACACCTTTTTGATCCGAGTTGATCCGATTTGGTGTAGATTTGAACGTCTGCTGCACAAGTTTGCTTCGCACTTTTTGTTGTCGTTCACGGACGATGAACACTTTAGTTGATTCGGCAGGTGAGTTGAACACTGATGAGTCCAACAAATTAAATTTTGTTTGTAGTTGTTGTTGAGTCCTGGTTTCTTTTGTTCTGAGCCCCCACTTAATGTTGTAACCAACCAAGCTTTGGATGAATAATTTAAAGAATAAATTAAAATTATTTAAAATATTTATTTCAATTTAAATTAAAATTAACAGTTGCTGTAAAAGGTAGAAGAAGGCTTTTTGAAGGAGGTGTTTTTGAAGAATGAACTGGAGAAGACAATAATTTGGGGGTTTGGGGAGGGGCTTTTAAAGCAGTCCATTGGCCCTGGTTTTTGGCCAATGGCAAAAAATTTAATAGAAAGTTAAGGTGAAAAATGATGAAATAGGTAGCTGTGCAAACAATGATAAGAAAAGTTTGGCTGGATAGAAAATTCCAGCAAAACTTTCAAAGAAGAAAAATTTAATTTTAAAATTAGAGAAAAGGGAGAGAGGGGTGAAAAGATAATAAAACAAACAAACGAGATGGGTAAAATTGCCCACACAAACTTCAGTCGCGGGAATGCACGTGAATGAAGTTTGTGTGGCGCATTCCTTTTTTAGTTTTTTATTTAATCCTTTGCCTCTCTTCTTTGCAAAATTTTATTTAATTTTATTTTTTATATTAATTAATTCCTTCTTTTATTATTTTGCAGAATCAGCCCATCTTCAGTCGGGCTGCAACAACAATATAATCAAGGGGTTGACATGTTTAAATCCTAAAAAATGCTTTGTCTTTTCAAATAGATTTTTACTAGGCCATATCTACTAAGAGTAAGAAGTCACACGACTAAAAGTCAGGAATTTCTTCCACAGAATAGTAAAAGATTGGAATTGTCTTTCTTTAGAATCTATGAAAATTAATAAGTCCAAGGAATTCAGGGAATTATTGAAAACATTGTACTGAGTTTTGAATGGTATTTACTAACTTAACATATATATTTTTTGTGTTAAGTTAAAAAGATCGAAGTCTAATTAAGTTAAAAAGATCGAAGTCTAAATCAAGTACCTGGCATTCAAGAATATGTAAGTCCAAAAGTTGAAAACCAATAAAGGAACCACGTCTCCCTGTACTACGACAATTTGTGAAATCCGTGGAACTTCACAACAATCCTGTCAGCGTCGAGGATTTATCCCTTGGAAAATGGGATACATCCGCTTGAGTTATTTCACTTTACAAAATTTGGTTGTTTTTACAAAAACAAAAAGCGTCGAGGATTTATCCCTTGGAAAATGGGATACAACCACTTGAGTTACTTCACTTTACAAAATTTGGTTGTTTTTACAAAAACATCACGGATTGGGACTGCATAACCTACAAAGCAGCACAGAAAGGATCAGCCGTCTGCGCCAAAAGGATCAGCCGTCGACAAGACCCACATTCCCAGCAGAACAAACGACTACTAGTTGAGCAAGTACAGCGACCACAAGCCGTCTAACTGTACACTATTAATTTTAATTGGCAAACCCGGCTAACCAACCATCAATGGCACGAATTTTACGTCAAGAACTTTACGAACGACAAGAGCTTGACTGAATGATTCTGAACAAGTTATGACCAACGGAATCTTCGCTGGAAAATCTGTGGGTTTCCCCGAATCAGGTACATGATAAAAAATCATAGATGAGATGACATATTTATCAGATAGATTGTCATAATCATTCAGATTGATTTTACTGCACTTATACTTATTAAAAAGCTTGTCCCTAATCGGCCTTGCGCCTAGTCGGTCGCGCCTAGTTGGCCCGCGCATAGTTGGGCGTGTCCCATAAAATATTTATGGGTACGGCCCAAGTAGGTGCGCGGCTAAGTAG